CGGGGTCGTACACGGCCCCGCCCCTGCTCGAGCGCCGGGGAGCCCGAGCCAGGGTTCCGCTTATCCTCCTCGAGGACTCAGGATCGTTACCTCGGCGGTTCTGCAGAACCCACCAAAGCCCCCGGGGTGGAGGGCAGGTCCCAGGCCGCGCGGGCCCATAGCGGGTGCCCCTGTGGGAGGGGGCTGCAGATCGACCGTCTCTTCGCTGCACTGCCTCCGTTTTGGGGAGAGCAGGTGTTAAAAGGAGGAACAGATAATGCTCTTCGCTTCACACAGTTTGCTGCTAAGAAAAGGGAATGAGTGGTCCATAGGGCCTGGAAGCATCTTACACAATAGGGGCAAAAGGAGGTTGTTCTAAACGTCCCCCCTTTCCTCCACCAGTTACTGAGTGAATACATGTAGGTCCCCAGAGGAAGCTGGAGATCATGAACTAGCTCATTTTCTCATCGGAGGTAGGGAGGGCAGCCTCAAGGTTACTCTGAGCTCCCTTCACAGAGGCAAGCTGACACTCATTCGTGCATGAGCTAAGTACGGACAAGGAGTCTGGGCTCCTGGCCTCTGTGCCCACAGACACTGTGGCCTGCACCGGGGCCTATCTGGCCTGATGGATCACCAAGAGTGAGAGCTGCTTTCTGTTTTGAGGATGGGTTCCTCAAATTTGGGGGCTGGCATCATGCTGACGTTGGGTCCAAGCCATGTCCACCTGAGGCAAGTTACTTTCCTGTGGATGTTGACATCTCCCTGGAAGGTGGGGCATAAAGTGCTGGATTAATGGAGCTCCTTGCCCCCAACCTGTCTTCTGGCCTGGTCAAGGTCCTTTCTCGGCCTCAAGGTCAGTTTTGGCTTTTCTAGAGAGGGGAAATCTTTGGGGGAGCCCTGCTCCATTCGGTTTGTTATTGGGTATGTGGCTGTCCTGGCCTCACCCACTCTAGAGAGAGGAGGAGGCAAAGATTGTAGAAGTTATTGCTATTTGGAGATGGACAGGCCTGGAATCATGTCCTCAAATAAGGCTCTGCCGAGTATTTGCCCATCCTTTGCAAGGAGCGTGCACCTATCTTAGCTCACTTGGTTTGCCCAGCTTCCCTGGGAGGAGGACCTCCGCCCTTGTGCTGTGTGGAGGAGGAAATTGAGGTTTCAGGGGACTGAATCACTCCATAAGGCCATTAAGCTCCAAGAGCTCTAGGAGCAGCTCCCATCCAGGTCTTCTGATTCCAGATCCAGTGTCCTTTCTACTACTCGCACAAATAAAGAAGAGATTGATTTAAATCTACCTGTGGAAGGTTGGGCTTTTCTTTCTTTCTTCAGGATGATAAATAGCCAGTCTATACATATTGTCTGTTTTCAACCAGCTTCTAACAGTTAATAGATTTTTGTGTAGCTGTAGACACTTCCATGCATCCGCAAGCCTGTGTGTGTGCTGCTGCTTATCCACTGGACCTACTGGGCTGCCTCTTGCTGTCTCAGATTCACAACTGCATTTTCTCTCTAAGTGGCCTCCTTGGCCGTGGGACGAGTGAGCAGGATGTCTGGCCAAGGTGAGCCTCAGGTGCAGGGCATGACTGCCTTGGGGGGGAGGGTTGTGAAGAGAGAACCCCAGGACACTGGAGAGTGGATATACCGGGGTGGGGAGCCCTTTAAGGACATCTGAGCTGACACCCCGCGTTGAAAGAGGAGACATCTGGCCTGGCACAGCCAGGCCCATGAATTTAACAAGGCTTCATTGGAGGCCGCCAAGAAGCAAAGTGCCGGGAGGGAAACCTACATGTGGAAAATTCAGTCCCTGCCTTAAGGGGGTCACAGGCAGAGGATGCAAAATCCCCACCATCCTTGACAATTAGGATGATCACGTGCTCTTAGTTCGCAAGTTGTTGAAGAAATAGGAGCTTTAAAGGAGGGCGAGGGTGGTGGTTAGAAGCAGCTGTGCAGTCCTAGGCCAGGAGTTAGATTCGGCCTTGCTAGCTGAGTGACTTGAAGCAGGCTGCTTAACCTTTCTGGGCCCCCATTTTCTCATGGGCATTCTGAGGCTTGAATAAAAGAAAGTGTAGCTAGTGTCTGGGAGAATGGCTGGCACACTGGAAGTCATAGAAGCTCTTTGTGTTTGAAAAGTGGGTCGCAGACTCAGGAGACCGACAGCTTGGGTTCGAATCCCAGCTCTGCCTCTTGCTGGTGGTGTGTGGATTTAGGCACATTCCTTAGCCTCCCTTGACCTCCCTTTTTGTATCTGTAAATTGGAGATAATAATAGTGCCTGTCTTAGGGCATTATGAAGATTAATATGAGTGCTTTTAGTTGAGTTTCAGGCACATGTAAACATCAGTCCAAAAAGGAGACAGTTTACCTTTGAAGGACCCAAGTTTGGACAGCCAGGCCACTGTGGGCATTGTCCTCTCCTTTTGATCCAGCCCAAAGAGATGCAGGTTCTGGGACAGCATTTAAAGTCTCTGAAGAACATTTTTCCTTTGGTTTATTTTGAGTAACGTTAATTAATGTTTAGTTAGCTTATTACTTTTTTCCTTGTTGAACTCCAAGTTCTAGAATGGCAGACCAGGAAGACCCTTAGATAAGGTCCCTGAGCCCAGCTCTGTCATTTTACAGACAGGGAGAAGCTGTCAGGTTAGAGCACTTGACTAAGGTTGGCCCTGGACCTTGACCGGCTGAGGTGGCAGACGGAGACTAGTGGGTTATCTCCCTGCCTGCTGTCCCCCTGTTGTTGCTGTGTTTCCCACTGCACCAAGCTCCTAGACTGTTTGTGGAAATAAAGTTGAAGGACATGGTGTGTGACATTGTAGAGCGATGCTGTCCACTAGAATGTTCTGCAGTGATGGAAACGTGTCATACCTGTGCTGTCCAGTATGATAGCCGTTAGCCCCATGGTGCTGCTGAGTGCTTGAAATGTGGCTAGGTGGTGAGGAACTGAATTTTTAATTGCATTAATAACTTTAATTTACTCAAGTGTAATGTAGATACCCACCTGTGGCTGGTGCTACCTTATGGGCAGTGCAACAGGTACAGGAATTTAAAAATCAGAATTTACTATTGGGCCCTTGGGAGAGAGAGTTTCCTAAAGGAAGCTCTGCAGCTCTCTGGGGACTGCAATCAGCTCTCAAACAACCAAGCTACTGGTGGTGATGGCAGGGAGGCGGGGGATTAGTGTGAGCACTGCCCAGCAGGCAGACGCCCTTGGAATCCTTTATTAGTAGGTAGGTGTGTGGGATCTACAAGGTGTTTTGTTTTGTTTTGTTTTTGCTTGCCATATTCTTAGATGCAAATCTACCAGGAAGTTTCCTGAGATCAGGGATTGCTTGGGACTGTGCTGTACCATGAATGCCAAGAATAGTGCCGGGTGTCTAGCAGATATGTTGATAAATATTAGTTGAGTTGATGTGAATTTTAGTGTGTTATGGGATGGAATTTTTTCCCCTTTGGGCTCTGTCTTTGGTTTTACAATGGAATTCATGCAAACAATCTGATATACAGAAACCACACTCAGGGATAGTATTCTGGAACTTTCCATAAAATGGTGCACAGTGCTGGCTCCCTTCCTGCTGGGAAGTGGGCGTGAAGACACAGTCTTTGCAGTCCAGCAAACCTGTGGTTGGGGAGGCCTGTGTCCGTCCACTGTCTAGCCTACCCTGTAAGTGTGCCACCCGCTGCTGTCCAGCTCCCTGCTTTCAGTCAGGACAGAAGTGGCTTTCTCTTATGGGACCCGCCTGCCCCATGGGTGGGGCTTCTCCAGGTGGGGCAGCACCAGGGGTAACCACACAGGTTGTCTTGGCCGTCCATCCTGTTGGCGCTTTTTCACTCTCAGAGGTCCTGAGATAAATGAGATGTTGCTCCTAGCATGGCCTATCTACATCTGGATGACTGGGGAAGCTTGTTACAAGAGCAGGCTTTCTGCACGTAAATAATACTTCAGTAGTCAGTCAACAAAATGAAGATTGAGATGATTAGGGAAACTTGAAAAGTCTCTTGATAATTAATGATACTAAGGAATTGCTCGTTTGTTTTTTTTAAAGGTGGGATAATAGTATTGTAGTTTGCTTTTTTACTTTTATTTATATATTTTTTTAAAAAAAGATGACCGGTAAGGGGATCCCAACCCTTGACTTGGTGTTGTCAGCACCACGCTCTCCCAAGTGTGTTCACCGGCCATCCCTATATGGGGATCTGAACCTATGGCCTTGGTGTTATCAACATCACACTCTCCCAAGTGAGCCATGGGCCAGCCCAGTAGTTTGCTTTTTTTAAAAACAACTTTATTGGGGTATAATATACATACAATAAATGCACATATCTTAAATGTACAGTTCACCGAGTTTTGAGAAATGTATACACCGTGTAATGACCGCCCCCGTTGTGACACAGAATATTTCCATCACCCCAAAAAGTTCCCTCTGCTCCTTTGCAGTTATTTCCCTCCCCGTCCCCTAGCAGATCTGCTTTCTCTCACTGTGTTTTGCCTTTTCTAGAATTTCGTGTAGATGGACTCTTGTCTAGCACACTGCTTGTGAGCCTCAGTCGTGGGCGTGGCAGCGCGTCCTTCCTCCTTGGGGCCCAGTGGTATTCCATCACCTAAAGTGTGTTTCCATCCCTGCAGCGTGTTTATCTCTCACCAGTCAATGAACATTTGGGCTCTGCTCAGCTTTGCAGATTTCAAAACATTTAGGACATAATGAAGGAAACATGAACAGTCACTTGATATTTAATGATGTGAAGAAATTG